ATTATGTTGGAAAAAAATTAAAGCTAGTTGTATTATTCAAAAAAGAACATTCATTCAAATGGTGGAAAGATAAATTTGATATCTCAAAAAAAAGTATCTAAATTTATTCTTTCAATAAATTTGAGGTCTTTTCTTTCAAAGCATATCCAATAGACATGATATGTTTTCTTGATTTATTCCCATAATTTAAATTCTAGAAAGCCTCTTAACATAGATTTTTCCTTGAAGTTACACATAAAACAACAAATATGATTTTTGGTACTCAGAAATCCTCCTTTGAAAGACTATTAAAATTGCAAAACTAATATTGAAATTATCTAGCTAAAATTACACTTTCAGTTTATCTTTAGAAATACTATAAAGTATCTTCATATATTATAAGTATTTAATAAAACAACAAAATAGTAATAATAACGTAAGTTGGACTCTAAATTAATTATATGAAATTTCTTAATATTCTTACTTGATTTACCAAGACAATTAGCCCGACCATGAATTAAATTCATTTTCAACATCATTGAAGCAACATACCTATACCATTGAGCTCCTTTTAAGACAATTATCCGAACATAATTTAATTTTTGATATTTCTCCATCCATCCAAATATAATAAGTTGATTGACTATGTTAAATACCTAATATATTTTAGACTACCTAGACAACTGAAATTTCGTAATTTTTGACGTCCAACTCAATTTCATATAATTAATTAGAACAAGATAGAAAAATCATGAAATTCCTTTTTAATACTATGTTATATGATTTAAAATGTCATTTTAGAACTATACTGACTGTCAACATTCTAAAATTGATACTAATGTATGACAATTAATAAACTATGATTCAGGGTTCTAGTGTTGGAGCTTAAAAAAGATGAATGACTTGATTGACACAATAGTACATCTTGCAGGGAAATAATAGGTGGGCTAAATATATTACAATAGAAGAAATCAATTATTACTATTGCTATGAAGTAATTTGTGTAATATTCCAAATTTTAGTACAATATTTACTAGGGCTTCTCAAGTAAATATATCAACGGCCAAATTTTTATTAATTTAAATGGTCATATGTATATGTAATGTATCCATATTTATAAATAATATATAATTGTTGGCATTTGTCTCAAAATTTATGCCGAAATGTCAAAAAGTGTTGATCTAAGCTTGGTATCAACAATACCTAAATAAAATAATCTCTTATTTTATAAATTTACCAGCACTCAACATATTTATATCAAATTAATAAATTATACGGAAAAGAGCCAAAAATATTCTTAGACTATTCGAAATACTTTGAATATACGCATTCATCTATTTGGCTAAAAACCCTCAGTCAGCCTTTTTCACCTATTTTTTTCCTTAAAACTTAATCAATTTTTTAAAGTCATTATTATTACTATTATTTATTATGTGGCATCTTTCTATATGATCAAATTAAATCTTCTGTCACGCCTCGAGCCTACACCCTAGGCGGGACTGGCACTCGAGAACCATTGTTGGCCCCAAACGAACCTTTGGCCTGACTTACTTACTCAACAAAAGACTCTAAGCATTACTACAATGATCAAATGCATTTCTACTCAACTGTTTAATAAAATAACTTAGAACTTTTAAAGTCAAACATTCAACTTGGCCAAAGTGGCAACTCAAGTCTTAACATATGACAATGAAAACGAAAAGACTAAAGAACTAACATTTGGCTGTCTATCTATGAAGCCTCTAAACAACTGAGATGGATGTCGGGACAAGACCCACGACATTCTAATGAACTAAAATGATAAAGTAATGAAAAGGGGGATCCTCCGAAAGCAATGAGGCTCACCAACAACTCTGAAGCTCAACTGGATCAATGATGCGTTGGATGATGATCCTGGTTACCTGTGTTTGCATCATGAGAAGATGCAGGCCAAATGACATTAGTACATTGAATGTACGAGTATGCAAGGGGAATTCTAAAACAAGACATAAGCTTGAAAGGAACACTTACCTTGGCTTTACTCAACTCAAATGCAAAATAAAACAACAATAATGGTGTAGTTTATACAAAGCATTTAAAACAGTAGGTAGCAACTCAATTTGTTAAAGAAATGCAATAACAACTTGGTTTACATATAAAGTAATATAATACTGTGAGAGTTTCTCTAACCGACAACCATCACTATGAGCCTAAGTGATGATATATCGTCTCGCCCATGCTGCCAGACTGTCCTATACTTTGCCGTCATATAGAACGCCTCAAATAAGTGGATCCACTAGTCTATGCTAAAAAGCACTAAGGAATCATCTAAAAGTATGATCCTTTCTACCCATGATGGGTACATGGTTTATGGAGACTTGAGTTATTATGAACTCGCGTCCCCATATCAGTGCTCAATACTAATCCCAAGATATACTCAGCGCATATGTTTTAAAAACAAAACTCTTTCTGTGATTTGAGATAATTACTCAAAAATGAGCTCAAGGGCTCTCTTGGAAATCGGTGTTTCCTTTCTTGCTCAAATGTGAAAACATTTTAACTCTTGGGAATACTTAGTTCCCGTATAATCTTTAAAGAAATGAACTTTACTCTTACTCTTTACTCACTCAAAACTTAAGTCTTAAAACAAAGTTAAAATGTTTGCAAAAGACTTATGAAATGACTCTAAGAATTCTCTAGACTTAGCTCTTAACTTTCCTTGAATTTGAATTTATGGATTCAGGGTTTGTGATTTGTGATAGAAAGGATCTCATTATGCTTAGGAGTGTTTTTAGATAGTTAAACATGAGAAACGATCAAGAAATCACTTTCTAGAAACTAGTCCGCAGGCAGAGATGCATTTAAATATTTGGTCGCAAAATTAATTTTGAGGTAGAACGGTCCGTGACCGCTCCGCGATGCGAGGAAGAATTTTCCCATCCTAAGGAACAGGTCCACGTCGAACCTGGAACTCAGATTCTCCCGAGTTTTTCCTTCTTCGTTTTCCAGTCCCAATTCGCCTAAACTCAGTTCTTTTTTCCAAATTCTCTTTAGATTCAGATACCCAGTAAATGTACCTAAGAACCTAACTCAAAACAACTCTATAATTCGACGCAATAATCTCAAAAACTCCTCAATCTCAGCTCAATCCAAGAACGAAAACAATTTCAAGAACACACATCAAGAATATCAAACTTTCAACCTTTTTAGGACGAATTCACACTGAAATAAACATGTTTGGAACGTGGGTGAACGAACCCAACGTTATGAAAGTCTCACATACCTCGTAGGATTGAATCCTTGGCGAAATCCACAACCAAACTCGCAAGAACTTGATGAATATTGAACTTTCTTCTCCTTTCTTCCTCTTTTCTCTTCTCTCAAAGCCCTGGCGTAATTCTCAATAGCGTAAAATGAATTAACTCAGTTTAGACCCCAAATAATTTACTAAAAACGAATTAATTTAATTGGGTATGGAAAAGACCAAAATACTCTTCCAAAATTTGGTTTTGACTTTCATATCTAGACAATCCAACTTCAAATGGACATATCTCACTCATACGAACTCAGAATTGAGTAAACTCGGTGGCGTTGGAAAGATAATTCAAATATATTTCCTACGGTATCTTGTAGCACACCTAACTTATCCTGAGATATGAGTTATGGTCGTTTGAAGTTGACCCAAAACTCAAACTTAACATTACTTAACCAATTTTCCAGATTTTTCATCTTTCCTTAAATGACTATTTTTAATTCTAGTTCTTTAAAATAGTGAGGTGTTACAATATCTCCCCCTTGGGAACATTCGTCCTGGAATGAGATTACTCTTAATAGGCTAAGGGTGTAACATCTAACATTCAACTCAAACACCGAACAAGCAAATCTAACACATCAAGTATATAAATGAAAGAGTACTAAGAAGAGAATTAGTACCTTGGTCTGGAATTTCTCCGGGTTCAAAGAGATGTGAATATCTCTTCTTTATATCATCCTCAGCTTCCTCAACAAATTGATTCCTCCAAAGAACTTTGACTAATGCTACTTCCTTGGTCCTCAACTTGCGGACTTGGCGATCTAGAATCTGATCCGGAATCTCCTCATAGGAAAAGCTATCCTTGATATCAATATTTTCAGTTGGTATGATTAATGAAGGATCTCTCATGCATTTCTTCAACATGGAAATATGAAATACTGGATGAACCGCTGCTAACTCCTGGGGTAGCTCTACTCATAAGCTACATTACCCACCTTCATGGCATACAACTCTCTATTTTTTAGAGTTTGGAGAACTATTCTGAGATGGCAAGCATGATCTTCCTCATTCCTCGAATAGATTAGAATGTCATCAATGGACACGATAACAAACATATATAAATAAGGCTTGAACACTCTATTCATAAGGTCCATGAACGCTGCTGGAGCACTAGTCAAACAAAAGGACATAACTAGAAACTCATAGTGACCATAACGGGTCCTGAATGCTGTCTTTGGAATGCTACATTGCTTTACTCTTAACTGATGGTAGCCTGATCTGAGGTCTATCTTAGAGAAACAAGTTTCACCCTGAAGTTGATCGAAGATATCATAGATTCTCGGAAAGGGATACTTATTCTTGATGGTAACCTCGTTCAACTGACAGTAACCTATAAACATCCTAAAGGAACCATCCTTCTTCATCACAAATAGAACATTTGACCAAATGGTCTTTCTATTTAATTTTTCCAATTTACTATGACTAGTAATAACATATCATTTAAATTAAAATATAAAATGTTTAAATTTGAGTTGCAATACAATTTTTTTGTTGAAAGACAATAATATTACTTTTAAGTTTCACCTCTAAAATTATAAGATTTAGAATAGTCTCTCCACTTATATTGTTCATGTTTGGGGGACAATTAACATACATACAAAATAATATGACAAATGTTACTTCCTCCGTCTCATATTAAATGTTAGACTTTTCTCTTTACATGTCTTTTAAGAAAAGAATCATAACTAGTAAAGTTAGTTTTATTAATTTACCCTTCAAGAAACTTGCTTGAAACTTTACAAACTTACTTACCCTTTCAAAAAGAATTAATTGTCTGAGTAAAGTAGGGGAAATGTAATCAATTTATCTTAATAAATAATTTAGGACAACTATTTTTAATAATGTGGACAACTATATGGAACCAGGGGCCTAGAGGATTACTAGATTAATTAATTTTTAGTTTTTCGATTACTTTTGTTAGAAATGTAGTTAAACAGAACGAATAACAACTATCAGAAATGACTGATCTTCTAGTAGATGATCAAAGAAATAGTTAGTTTTGAACTTTTCTTGTAACTTTCAATTATACCATTATCCTGATTATCTAAGAGTCTGTTTGGCATCGATCCTAAAAACACATTTTTCTAAAACCGTTTTTTTGAAATGGCTTTTGAGAGAAGTACCTATGAAAAAAAAACAATTGGTGTTTGACTAATTTATTTGAAAAGTGTTTTTCATAAGCAAATTACGTTTAACTAATCTTTTAGAAAAAGTGTTTTTAAAGTCAACTTACATGAAAGGACAACTATTAATGTACTTCTAACATTAAAATTATTTTATAGAGAGAAATTATCTTAAATATCTATAATTAAAAAAATTAAATCAAATTTTTATTTTTATTAAATTAAAATGTTTAAATTTCAATCAGTTATACTTTTTTTTGGAAGGCTGAAATATTTAATTATTACTCTTTTCTAATCTTGTAAAAATATTATTGTTAACTTTTTTCTAATTCTGCAAAATAATACGTAAAATAATATTGTTAAATTATATATATGAGCAACTTTTGATGTTTCAATTCTTTTATATATTGTATATTCATTAGAAATGACTAATACACATTTACGGCAAATCAAGTTTTAAATTTGAGGTTCAAAATATTTTAATGACAGATTTCAATGGATACCCGATTTAAATCTCCACTAAACAATCCTAAAATTTAGATTACATGATCTCCTCTCAGCATTTCTATTCGTTTAGATTTTTCTCTTTACAGCCTTTTAAAGAAATCATAATTAAGAAAATTGAGTTTACTAATTTATCATTTAAGAAACTTGTTCGGAACTTTAAAAACTTCTTTATTCTTTCTATTCTATTTGCTTCATCTTGATTTTGATTTCCATTTTTTCATCAATTACTTTGAAACCAGGTTTTTCTAGAGTTGCAGATTTTGATTTTGTGGGATAAGGCATAAGTACCCCCCTAGACTATGATCGAAATCTCAGAGACACACCTTAACTAAACTAAGGTCCTATTACGCCCCTGAACTCATTTTGTATATAATTTTGTACACCTTTTGGCTTATATGGCACACTCCGTGACTCCACACAGTTCAAGCGCGTGGGAGATATTTGGATACCACGTAAGCCAAAAAGGTGTACAAAATTACAAAAAAAATGGGTTCGATGGGGGGAGGGGTAATAGGACCTTAGTTTAGTTAAAGTATGTCTCTGAAATTTTGGTAATAGTCTAGGGGGTACTTGTACCTTTTCCCTTGATTTTGTTTGATATTTTCGTTTCTCAATGCACAATTCATTTGTGTTGCTATCTCTCTTCCTACTATCAAAATTGTTACTTATATTAGTGATATGCAAAAAATTGGAATTTATAATACTTTTTCGTATAGTTTTTGAATATTTAAATTTTTTGTTTAAAATATCAAATTAACGTAATCTTATTTCACTTTGAAAATTAGTCGAATTAACTTTCGAAAAGCGCAACACGACAACTAAAAGTTGACAGACGGAGTAGCACTCAACATATTTATGTCAAATTAATAAAGTATACGGAAAAGTGCCAAAAATAACCTTGGACTATTTGAAAATGTTTAAATATACCCCCCTCATTCATTTATTTGACTAAAAATATCCCTCAATACACTTTTTTGGCCTATTTTTACCCTTAAAACTTGATAGATTTTTTAAAGTTATTATTATTACTATTATTTATAATATGGAGTATAAGCAATTTTAGCTAAAAGTTTACACAACCACTACAAAAATATCATGAGACATACACAACTCTTTTTGAAAAAAAAAACATGTGTGGAAGAAGAAAAAGGCTCCTTACATAATGATTACTAAACAATTTTTCTCCTATTTGAGATTTGGAAGAAAAACAAAGGCTTCATTTTCCTAATTTTATGCGGTAACATACATTTAAGTAGAATTTTTACAATTTCCTAATCTGACATTGTTTATGCAAAAACAGATTTTTCTATCGAACTCTTTTTTTCTGTTTTTGACTTCCTACTTCAACTAGGATGGTGAAAACCTAATGCTCTATAAATTAAGAGCTTCAAACTTCTTATACATTATAATTATTCAAATCTCCTTTCAATAATATTCTCAACAAAAACAAATTAACATCTCTTATTCAAATATATTTTTACCATCATGTCAACAAAGTTCTTAACTCTAAAGACTTGCGATGGTAACGAATTTGTACTCGACGAGGCGATAGCCGTGAGGTCACAAACTATCAAGAGTATGGTTGAAGACGATTGTGTTTCAAACGTCATTCCCCTTCCTAATGTCGATAGCAAAACAATGACCAAAGTGATTGAATACCGGAAGAAACATTCGGAGGAAGACATCTCCAAAGACATGTTGATGGCGTTTGAGAAGGCTTTTGTGAAGGTGCACCACTCGATTTTGCATGCTCTTATCTTAGCTACTAATTTTCTTAACGATAAGGAGATATTGGATATGATGTGTCAAGAAGTTGTTGATAGCAAGAATGATTTTACTTCAGAGGAAGAAGAGGAGATCCGTAAAGAGAATGCTTGGGCTTTTGAATGATTTTATAGCATTATGGTTATTTTTACTTTTTTTTCTATTTTTATTTTAGAATTAAAACGGTCTAGTTAGCTATATCCTATTTTATTTTATTTAGTTCTATATTCTATTATTATTTTTTATAGAATTGTTCTTTGATTTTGATTAATTTATAAATTTATAAATTATGTTGGAAAGAAATTAAAGTTATTTATACAAACAACTTAGTGATCTATATAAAATATATAGAGCTCAACTATTGAACTTATAAGCAAACAAATTATTGATTATGCTAGAAAAATTAATAAAATATCTATTAGCTAAAAGTTTATCTAACCACTAAATTAATAGATCTTGCTCTCTCACTGTTACAAGAAAATGAAATTGAATATTGATTCAAGATTCGAATTGCAAAAAAGAAATGCTTTCGAGGGATATTTTAAAAATAATTAAGAAATAACTACTGAGATACTCAGACAAGATAGAAATAATCTATCATAATACCAATTATAAAATAAAATAAAATAATAGAGTATAAACACATATATGTATTATTAATTAAAATATACGGAAATTTGTGTATGTGGCATTATCTGAAAGGAAGAAAAAAAAGGGGTGTGTATACATATAAAATAAGATTTTGAATCCTTTAACATGGACTCTTCCTGTTCTTCATCAACCTTTAACATAATCTCTACAATTTAATTTTTTAGTCCATAAATTAAATTGGTGGTTTGTCAACTTTTGTTACTATAATTTTCCTTTAAACTTTTCATCAATTAGTTCTAAAGAAAGAAAATAAAAACTTCCTTTTTTCTAATCTTATACAGTTCACATACGGTTTATGAATAGTTTTCAAATTAACTTGAGCTGTCATTATTGTATGATATAATTTCCTAATCTGACATGGTTTATGAAAAATCGAGTTTAATTCTCGTGTTCTTTTTAAATTTTTTCCTTTGACTTTCTACTTCAACTAGGATGATGAAAACATACTGCTCTATAAATTAAACACTTCAAATCTCTTAGGTATTTTAATCATTCAAATCTTCTTTTAATAATATTCTCAACAAAACAAATTAACATCTCTTATTCAAAGCATATCCAATAGACTTGATATACTTTCTTAATTAAATGCCACAATTTAAGTACTGAAAAATCTCTTAACATAGCTTTTCTTTGAAGTTACTCATAAAACAACAAAAATGATTTAATTATTAGGGAATCCTTTAAAAGACTACTAAAGTTTAAAACTTAAAAAACAAAAGAGAAACATTATGGAGTTTCTTTTTTAATACAATGTTATATTGGTTTACATGTCACTTTTAGAAATTTATTAATAAAGTTAATTGATGCTAGAGCTTAAAAAAATTCTTCGACTTGATTTGGGTAAGAAGTTAGATAGTTTGGAAGAACATATAAAAAAACTCTTAGTAGGAAACGCTACCGTCTGAGTGAGGTCCTACTTGGTGTAAATTCAAATTAACTGAACTTTAATGCGGATATTGAACACTGGGTGAAAAAAATTTTAAAAAAAATTGGAGGAACGTGTATATGTACCATCTTTCCTTTTTCACAATATATAGCATGTTGGTTTGTTGTCGCGGTAACCTCCTTCGATTCTGTTCGCAGATCAGGAACATTCCCAATATATCTTCTGCTCGTTGGGAGAACTCTCAATAGATTGATTTTCGAGAGTCGAGGTGGAAGTAGATGGAGACTGGGGAGAATAAAAAACCTAGTGCATCTTGCAGGGTAATAATGGATGAGCTCAACATATTACAATAGAAGAAATCAATTATTACAATTGCTATGAAAAAATACTTGTAATATTCCAAATTTTAGGGCAATATTTACTACGGCTTCTCAAGTAAATGTATCATTTACCAAAATTATTATTAATTAAATGACTCTATGTATATGTAATGTATCAAAATTTTATAAGTAGTGTAAGATTGTATATATGTATGATAATAACTAAATCACAAACACAGTTATTTAATATTTATACATTACAATGCATCTTCCTCACGAGTTAATTTTTTTTTCAATACCGACTAGCTCAAATCTCCTCTAAATAGTCCTAAATTGTAGACATAAAAAAATTATATGTTTTATAAACGTAAAATAAATTATAAATTTATTTTATAAAAATAAAAAATGAAATTTTTAAATGAAATTTAACCAAACTTATGAAATAAGTTAATAAATTATTAAGAAATATAGTGGTAAATATGTCTATATGAAAAGGAAAGGATATGTTAGTCTTGAGAAACATAATTTTTGTGTCACGACCCAGATCATCGTGATTGGCACCCACACTAACCCTCTGGTGGGAGAACCATTAATGCTAATTAATTAACCAACTCTAATCACATACTAATCATTACGTTACGGAAGCAAGTTAAATACTAAGAAAAGAAATAGGGAGTTCCCATAAACTCCAAGCAAAAGTCTATCAACTAAACAAATGCGGAAGTAACACCTAGAACATGAAAGTCAATGTACCAAAACATCTAAAGTTCAACAAGTCTAAACAAGAGGGATACAACCCCAAACTAATAAACTAATAACTAACTAGAAAGTCTAAGTCAGAAATGGTGGACATAGACGAAAGAGAACCCATGGCAGCCCGGAAGAATTGGCTCACCCTTGAATTCAAACGATCAATGATCTTCTAAGCGAGGTTTGTCAATAGCTACTTGAAGATGCCCTGTAGTCAACAAAGAAAGAGAAAGTGCAGTATCCGTACACAACCACAGTGTACTGGTACGATCACGCGGCTATCCCACTAAGTCATCATACATAAGCCATTACAACAATATAATCACATGCATATTCGAACATATACAATATTATCAACATTTACGAACAATGAACAATTTTGCATTTCCCAAGATACACAATTATGACAAGTCATTGGTCCTCTCATGAAACCCAAACCTAAACAGTTAGCATACCGGAACATGGTACTCGATCCAATGTTTATGCCGGAATGTGGCAACCGATCCCATACTTATGCCGAAACGTGGCAACCGATCCAAGTTAGTTATGCCAGAACGTGGCAACCGATCCATTCAACAAGCCACAATCACAATCACAAGTACATTATCATAATCATACAATCAAGTCATAATTCATGACATTCATCAACTATACATCCTCATTTATAACAAGTGTGATCAATAATGCAACATCCGCATACGTACATGTATCATAATAAAGCAATACAAACATACATCACACAATCATAGACTCACAACCATCACCTACCTCGAAGCAAGCTTGAAACCCTAAGAAACTTGATCCTTCCCTTTCCGGATTAGTTCCACTTGTTCTTGGTCTACAAACAATCAATACAATACGGGAATCAATAAACAATCACTAATTACCCAAATTGCTAACAATTCTATGAACCCTAGATCATACCCATGATCCCAAACACCCAAAATAGGGTTATTTCCACCATAGAATCTAGATCAAAACCCTTCCCCAACGATAATTACCCATTCTATTACGTTCTTTGGATCGAAAAATGTATTCGGGAGTGAAAAGCTTACCTTTAGACTCAAGAATGGTGGAAATTAACCAACGATGCTTAGAAAATACCATTCACGCTAAGATCGATTTCGGGAGTTCTACTCACCCGAATTCAATTTCGTAAAGTCGTACGGGTTCCTTAACGACTTATCTAACTACGCAGGTAATCAAAATTATAAATAAGTCACCCGGTTGTTACCAAATTTCCCTACACCTTAATGACTCCAATTTTGTCCAAATCTGGACTAGGTTGGGAAATTTCAAGTTACTACAGAAAAGTTTTCCAACCAAAAATTTTCCCCGTTGGCTTTTCTATAACGACGGAACCCGATCGTTACATTTTGTTTTTGCCTCTACTTTATTTATTTTTTAAATTTAGTTTCTTCCCAACCGCAAAAAATAATTGCTTCTGCTTACATTTAAAAACACTTTTACTTATTTGTCAAACACTTAATTTTTCAATAAAAGTGTTTTTTTTTTCAAAAGTGTTTCTGACCTCCCAACACCAATGACAAACAGGCTTTAAGCCATATTACGTACATTTTGCAAAACAATTTTATTAAACTTCAAAAAAGGGAAAAAAAAAGTTTTGGTCTAGGTAATATTTTGCTTTCCATATTCCTATTACAACTTTGGAAAGTAATTAAAACCTAATACACTATAAAAGACCAAGCTAGCCTCATGTATTGAGATCATTCATTCATAGTTCTCTCTATTTACTTTCATGTCTTCAAAAAAGCTCATAACTCTCAAGACTAGCGATGGTGAGGAATTCAAACTCGACGAGGTTGTAGCTGTGAGGTCAGAAGTCATCAAGAACATGGTACTAGACGTGGATTGTACTTCTAATGTCATCCCCTTGTCTAATGTTGATGACAAAACAATGACCAAAATAGTTAAATATTGGAAGAAACATCGGAGGAAGGTGTTATCGAAGATCAGCTAAAGAATTTTGATCAGGATTTCTTAAAGATGAGCCAGTCAGAATTATTTGATATTCTCTTGGCTGCTCAATCTCTTGACGATAAGCAGTTGAATGAGGTAATGATCCAAGAATCTTGTGATAGGATCAAAGGGAAACCAATAGAGGAAATACGTGAAGTATTTGGTATCGAGAATGATTATACTCCAACAGAAGAGGAGGAGGTCCGTAGAGAATGCTTGGGGTTTTGAATGATTTTATAATATTTATATTATTTTCTTAGCTATATCCTATTTTTATTTTATTTTTGTTAGTTATATCTTTTGATGTTCCTTTTTGAAGGAAATGTTGTTCAATTTTGATTGATTTATAAATTATGTTGGAAAGAAATTAAAGCTAATTATATTGTTTGAGAAAAAATATTATCCTTTTAGATTTATTATTCACTCAAATCTTCTCTAAATAGTCCTAAATCGATGTTTCAATTCTTTTAATATATTGTATATTCACTAGAAATGACTAATTCACATTTGCAACATATCAAATTTTAAATTTGAGGTTC